GCTGATGTACTTCGTTCAGGGTTACGTACTGGCGCAATGCTCTTACCGCCTGATCTCGAAACAACGCTCCATGTCGACTTGCCGTGTTCGCATATCGCCGAGACGAGTTTCATTTCGCGCGTGACTACCCACCGTACGACACGGTAAAAACCGTTTCACGCGGCAACGACCACTCGGACCGCAGTCCACGTTAAGCAACAAGTTCACGGAAGAAAGAGGAGATTTCGGACCGTGCGACGTCGTTTATTTTCGATATCATTATTACGAAAAAGTCCGTGTCGTTCAAGTTCCACTATTATCGTGTTTTAAAAGTCGTATGACTAGCTCTTTCGTACTTTTGATATCGAAAAAATAAAAACGATGTCTCGCGCGGTCCGATATATCTTTTTTCCGGTGTAAAAATTTGATTGCTTATAATATAATGAGCTACAGCCCGGATGCTTCTTGCCCGCGCGAAACGGTTTTTACTATAATAATATCATGTTGAACGTATGCAAAACGGCGACAATACGCCAGCGGGTGAAGTGTACTCTTAATGGTCATTATTTCATTAACAACATCCAGATACGATTTTTATTTTCGTATGCAAATTTTCCGTAAGTTTTCCACTATAGCTATCGATAAATAATGTTATATAATTAAGTAATCATACATAGCAGCTTTGTTGACACATTTTTTTTAATATTGACATTTTAAACATTTATACAGTTCAAACTGCTCGTGCTAAAATTTATCTCTCTCTCTCCACAACTACCGTTTTCCGTTTCTTCATTTTAAGTACATAATACAAAGAACAGACATTGCAATAAATGATTTAATGATTTTCCGGATGAAAAATATATCCAGGATTGAGGGAACAATGCACAATAAAAAAATTACAAAAGTAATCACTAATCATTGTTCATTGTTCATTAGTACTTTATTTTAACATTTGTTTTTGAATATTCTTTAAAAAAATTTAATTAATTTTTTAGTTGTGCCAATTATAATAATGTACAATATATAATTTCTAATCAATGAAAAACACTACTTAAACAAACAAAAAATATTAGATTTTCATAAGGTACTCTAAAGCAACCTATAGTGATTGAAATCTATAAAATCCTTTTGAGTTTCAAGGAATCGATTGACATAAATTTTATCGAAAACGACCAAGTCGTTCAAAAGTTACTCGACCACAGAAGACTCACAAAATAATTATATAGACATAAAGTTAAACCTAGGTATACAAAGATATGATTCAATGTTTTCCTGTGTAGAGGAGAAAATATCAAGTAGCGCGCTATATTTATTTTTGTATAAACACCTAACTTATCACTTAGTACTGCATAACTTTGTAAACATATTCTTGGTATATAAATATAGATTAAAATAAATTTTAATATTTTTGAAAATTATTTATTTCTAAGTATTTAATTTGGTAAAAATTTTAACTTGAAATGATAATTAAAAAAGCGGGCAAGTGGGTACCGCTCTGCTGTACATTAGTAGGTTAAATTTGAATGCAATGATAGGTAGTATTGTATACGAAAAACGATTCTGAATGGAGATGATTTGTCAGTCTAGGATATATTATATTTAAATATTGTCATACATTCTATTTTGAAACAAATATTTTATTTTTCAATTAGGACGCATTTGCAAAAGTCATGGTTAATCAATTAATTATTAATTTTTATGAATTATACCTACAAAATACTTTGCAAATATTCATGGTTTTGATGAATTTTTTTCAATATTTGAACTTCAAATGCTAATAAAAAAAATTGTGCCTATGTATTTTTAAAATTTTTTGATCACTATAAGAATAACTTATGAGGAACTTTGTATTAAATTTTCAAGTATTTTGATTGGGCCAAAAAAAATTTTAGAAAAATTGAAGATTTCAGTTGTCTATAAATAGGTCAAAATATTTTGAAAATTAAATCATGTAAAGAAAATGCCAATCTAAATAACTGGTAAAATTTTCAAGTATCTACGACTTATACTTTTTGAATATTAACAAATATTTAAAATCGTTTGAGGATAAATCGTATCGTTACACTATTTCGTAAAAATTTAAAATTCAAACGCACTTAAAATTTTTCCTATATAATGATGCTTCGAGTTTTTATTATAGCTACTTGAAAGAAAACTCAAGGAAAAGACAGTGTAGTATTTTTAATCGTTATTTTTTGATTTTTCAACTTCAAAATTACTTACAAATTTTCGCGTTTTCGATAGATTTCATAAATATTTGAACTATAAACGTTTATAAAAAAAAATTGTGACTAACGATTTTTAACTTTTTTTAGCTACAATAAGAACAACTCATTAGGAACCTTGTATTAAATTTTCAAAATTTTTTGGTCATCCAACATTTTTTCATTGATACTTCAAAAAAAAATTCTCATAAATATCGATAATTTCTGTGGTCTATAAATAACTCAAAAAAAGTCAAAATTTTTTGAAAACTAAACTGTATATAGTCATATAGATAACATTAACATAAACATTTTGTGAAAATTTTAAGTATTTACAGTGATGAGTTTTTGAATTAAAACCATATAAAAAAATCGATTTGGTCGAAAACTGGTTTTGCGTAAAAATTCCCGTTTTTCCGTCATTTTTTTTTTTTTGTTTTTCTCGATTTATTTGAAAACTGTTGAAAAATGTTTACTTTTTACCTCTATAATGCACCAAGGATATTCACTTTGCCATCGGAAACCCCTCCCGAAGTTTGTAATTAAAGCGTTATTTCGTCTACTTATGCTGTACACAGACAGACAAAAAAAAAACACACATCATTGTAAAATCAATACATTCATCACTCCGTTCAGAATCTAAAACATTGTAGGTACCTATTTGTTTTTATAATTTTTAATTTGCTATTAAAAAAATTAACTTGTTATCGATTTTCAAATTTTTGACCGTATCTAAAAAAATTTATCAACTCTAAGAAAGAATTTCAAATCTTTATAAATATTATTTAAAATTAGTCTAAATATTTTGAAAATTTGTTTTAATATTCTTTTTAACGTCAAAGTTTGAATTTCAATTATTATTAAATCATATTAAATAAAAAAAGAGTATGAAATTTATTATTTTATATTCAAACCTTAGCTATTAAAATTGATATTTTAATTAATTTTTTTCTAGTAAATAGTTTACAAATTTTCATAATATTTTGATGAATTTTTCTAAAATTTGAATTTAAAATAATAAGAAATAAAAAAAAGTCACAACATTATATTTTCGATATTTTCTAATTTGTGTGTGAACAACTATTATAGATACTCGATTTTTTTTTTTTATTGAAAACAATCATTTTATCATCAATTAATTAAAAAAAAATAATAAAACTTAAAATGTCATATATCTATAAATAGCACATAAATATGCAAATTATTTTGAAAATTATACGGGATGTAAACATATTAAATATTAGTGTAAAAAACGTTTGTTTTCCCAATTGTTTTGTAAAGTAAATACTTTAATAGTTAATAATTTTTGACTCTAAAAAAATACCAATAAAAGATATAAATTTCTACCAAAAACTTGTAAGTTGAAAATCATAGCATTTTTAGTGACCTAAAAAGTAATAATTGACAGAAAAAACACATCAACACATATTTTATTGTGTTAAATTAATACTACACACCTACTTACTAATTAAAGAAAATTTATATTAATTGAAATGTATGTTTTAGGTCTACTTGACTAGTGTTTTTTTTTTTACACACTACAAAAATACTAATTCTAAAGACCGATGCTTTGAGTTTCCGTAATTTTCCTAAATTTAACTTTCGATGGACTATTGCGGTCAAATATTAAGCTGGATTATCTATAGTGTTATACTCCTGAGTGTAGAAAACCGAATAAATTTAACGCATTCATTTCTACAAGATTATAATATTATATATTAATCACATTTCATAATTATAATAAAATTGTGTTTATTATCGTAATTATAATCATAGTAATTATTGTAATGTTTTTAGTTTGTATATAACGAACGTCACAGTCGTAGTGTCATGCGTTAAACAATCCGTACGAGACCTACAATCTGCAACCCATCATAATAGACAGATCGATATATTTTATATTGATACCTACTCCGCTTCAAGTGTTTCTACAAAATGTAATCGTCGACCAATCGATTTTTAAGATAAGAAGATCATCATATTTTTGACGATATGAGTACACGACCTCACATAATATATTAAGAAAATCGAAATAAATTATAACTATGGACTTAATGGCGGATAATTCTCTTACGTACCTGTGCATTGCGTCCAGAAGTTTCGCTCTTTTGAACAACGTAAGTTATATAGACATAAGTATTGCAATCTCAAATATAATTAATTTAAAAATATACGTTAATCTTACATTAAAAAAACGTAATCACAAACTTTTTTGGCCACACCATAACCTTGTATAAAAAAATATTATAAGCTAGGTATATTACTTAGATATGTTTACTATTAATTTTCAGCTGAATGCATAAATATTTTATTAATACATTTTACAAGATCTCTAATTTCATAAAATATTAGGTTAGGAAACAATACCATATATTATATTACGGTTTACATACATTCTAAATATTTTTAAGAAGTATTAAAATACTCGCAAAATCACTACTCTTAACGTTAATATAATGTTAAAATATTATGATGCATTGAAACAGGAAAAATTATTATTACAAAAAAAAATAAAAATATTTATTCAAAATTTCTGAAGAAAAAAAAATCACATGTCTAAATCAACACTATTTAACTATTAAAATAAATAAATATTTTATTGATATATAAGTAACTTGTGCATAGTTTCTGTAAACATTTGACTTATTTTTTTTCAGTGCGTGTGTTATAGTGTCTGTTACATCTATGTATATTACGGTAGACAGTATTTCCAAAATTACAACTTGCAATGGAATACAGGTTAGTTTATTATGTATAAATATTAAATATGAAAATTATATTACTTTATATTATATTATTATAAATGTATTGTGTACGAATTTAATAATAATACAAATAATCAGAGTTGATTAGAATATAAAACGTTTATTTCATATTATGGAAATATAATTATGTATTTTAATATTATCAAAGAATTATAAAAACACAATAAAATAATAATTACGTTATCGCTGGATTATTATGAACAATCACAAACGCTTAAAATGACCATCAATTATTTTTTTAAATATTTTTTGTATGTTTTAATATTTATGCAAGTTTTACAAATATTGTTTTTCTATTGATTATTTTGTGTATTCTAAGATCACATTGCTATTTAACCATAACCTATAGACACTTTAACGTAATATTAGGTATTTATTATAATTATAATTTATAACATTTTAAACTTCGGAGATTTTATAAACGTGACAAAATTCAAAATCTCGTGTACATATATGTATTGATTTTATAAGAATGTAATAATCATAAAAGTATGTTACATACTTATATACGAGCATAATATAGATTTAACAATATTAAAGCAATCATAGTATTAAATATGAATAATCAACATTTATTTTGTTTAGATTTCAAGAATAGTCTAATAGTATTCTTCGAGAACGTGGATACAACAGAAAAAATATACTTCTCGCTTTCCATGTGTTTGTTGATGTTGATAATAGCTATGATTTTTGTTAATCATAAATTCAGATTCAAATCTCAAGTAAATTAAAAACAATAATAATTTTTTTTAAATTTTTTTAATAGCTGATTATAAATGTTATTATATAATCTGAAGCAAAATAAAATTGTGTAAAAATGTACCGAATAGATATTTAAGCATTTTAATATTTTTAGAAAATTAGATTTAATTTCGTGTTTGATTAGAAAATCAAAAAATATAGGTTGCTATTAAAAAAATTTGGATCATTCTATTTTATAATAGATATTAAAATATAACTCGTCATTGAGTAAACAATTTAATATTAAATTTGTATTCAATGATAAATCATATTTGTCTATGATGAATTCTATAAATGATCCTGATTGGAGACTGTCTGTCAGGTATTGTCGGTATTTATTTCTAAGAATAATGGATATATTATGAGTTATGACAATATAATAATGTATTAAATGTTTTATATTACCATTAATAATAGCGATAAGGTTGAAACAGTTGTATCAAAGACAAATTTAATATTTTATTTATATAGATGATAATTATTATATTATTACGAGGTAACTGACAAAGTAATAACTGTTATTACCAATAAATAGTATACCAATATACAGTAGAACCGCGTGAATAGGTTAATGAGATAGCTTAAATTATTCTAAATATTTTGAAAACTTCATTATGATTATTAAATAGAAATATATATAATGGTAAAAAGCTTCAAATCTTTATAAATTATTATTTAAAATCGCAACAAAATTATTAAAATCCTTAAAATGCCTGTAAAAAAAAAAATTATACATATTTATTTTTAAAATAATTTAGTTGCTATAAGTACAACTAATAAATATTTTATGAATTGTGTATTATATTTTCAGATTTTTGTAAGTGAATAAATATTTTTCATTAACATTTATCGAAAAATAACTGAAAAATTTAATACATAATTTTAAATTCTTATAATTTAAAAATACCTTAAAATTATTTATTATTTTAAATTGTATAGTGCAAAGTAAATTTTAATTTAACTAATTAAGGAATATTTCAAGTTACTACAATCTAAACATTTTTGAATAATTAAAAAATAACAATAATTGTTAGAGAATAAATCGTTATTATATACGTTTGAAAATATATAGTAATATAAATTTATTGTTTAAATTAAAGAAAAAAAAAATTGTACTAATTTAATTCTTAAACCAGTGTTCAAATTAAAAATTTAATGCATTTCAATCCATCATTGATTAGTTAAGTAGCATAAATGGTGACCATTATAAAAAATTAAAAATATTAAAATGTTGAAGGATTTATTGTAGCCATTTTTCCACAGATAAACTATATTGCTTAGTATTAATGGTTATATTTAATAATACCATTTTAATAAATCACTATTATAATTAATAGTGATTTATCATTTAAAATAATACAATATGAATTATTTTCAGCCTAATGTCTTCACGATCAAGCTTTGGTTAATAGTATACAAAGTGGTTTTTTATTTCGTTCTCATCTCTTACACTATACCGTCAATATTTACAATAACGAAGAAGTACGATGTGTTGCTGGTTGGAATTATAGTCGGCGGTGTGTACTTTTATATTTTTTACTTATCTACAATATTATAAATATTAAATACTATGTTTTTCATCTATTCCGTTGTCTAGTGGATTTCAATTTAAATCGTTTTAATAAATCTGTTTGTATTTTTTTCCCATGATATAGCGATTTTAGCTTATGAAATATATATAGTCAAATGCCTGTACGATGAATTACGTCTTCAGAACACGTCTGTACTTGATCTGATCAACCTCAGCTCTATGCGATACCTAAGTGTCCAGTCAACGGATCGAAATTCGCATCTAACGGTGGTTCATTCGACCATGGCGCTTATGTCGTACTTTCTGTGGATATTTTTTATACTCAGAAAACGGATGAATCCCATGCCGTCCAATCGTGTGTCCATCTAGGTATAGAACACCCGCAATACGGCGATTAAGGGTTGTACGACTATACGAGTTTATAGTTAATTTTATTATCGAATAGTAAATTATGTCGGTACAATTGACAGAAATTACAGACATTAATTATTTCACGATATTGTACAGTTAAATGTCAAACCTGTTAATTTATTTTTTTTAACAAAGACTATATGAGATATATTATATTGAAATAATATACTATAAAACTAAAATTTTATTAACCGTATTGCTGTTGTCGTTGTGTATTCAATTTATTATTATTCCACTATCTAAAATAGTATATACAAATGTAATTGTATTTAAGATTTTTACCAGAAAAGAATTAATAGACACTATATTATCATAAAAGAATATTTCAATTTTGACTTCAAAGTTTTATCAACTAAAAATCTTCACAATTTTGTGTAGAGATAAAATATATTTTGTATTTGTATTATGTATATGTTACGGGCAAAGTGGAAAATTTGGACAATGTAAATTGTGAAGTATTTATACAATATAACGAACATAAATAAACGAATTATTACGAAGATGGCTATAACCCGTTTGAGTATAAGATACCTTTAAAAAAATATTATTGTGAAAATATCTTGGCTTACCAAAGATTCAACAGTCAATTTGTCTCTATAATAAAATAATGTGTATATTGTATTCATACCCTCCATATTAAACAAATTAAATTCATTAACTTTTATGATTTTTAACGCAAATCAGATTTAAATGTGAAGGACTTAATGATCTCGCTCAATATTTAAACTAAATAATTTCTACAGTTATTTCTAAATAATACTATAGTACCGATACAGCTTAATCGAACAGATGATAATCGTATATCAAAATAAATAAATAATTGCTTATATTTGGTATCAGTAGTTATTTATCTAAACAACTTTAATGCCTTTTCAACGTTAAAGTGTAACAACATTGGTTAAAATAATTTAAACTTAATTTTTGTGTTTAAAAGGTAGGTACATGTCTAATCTGCAATCGCGCATATTACGTTAAATTATATAACTTACTTGTCAAAATAGCCAATGATCTTCATTGCGATCTCTATATACAAGGGTTGTTTCTAAAGAAATATATTAAGACTGGAAACCATCGTGTTCGTTATACTTTAAGCTACAAACTGATACTAAAATCAGCTGATAATATAATATTGCAATACAGCTAAAACACGCTGTTCTTTACTTTTAGGACAATCCTTGTATAAATGTTTATTACAGAAGTAAAAAAAAAAAAAAAAAAAATGATAATAGGCAATCGTAAAAAATTGAAATCTTTTATCATTTATCATATTAGGTACAGTTATTGTGTGACAATACTCGATCTACTAAGATCAGACATTACATCTCAAAATCGATAAATGCGTGTATTCTATAATAATTTAATAATCTGACTTAAATTATTCGATAAAATTTTTTTTATGAAAGATTTGAGTGAGATGTATAGTGATTAAAATGATTTAATATTATTTAGTTACCATTCCAATTAAAGTGTCGGTCTTATACTCGTATCACACCATTATCGTTTTATGAAACAATATAATGTCGTGTTATTTATTTTAAATGTTTTATAATGGACTTAAAAATTAGAGGTGTTATTGAAATTTTAATGATAATGAAGTATTATTTAATTTTAATTTTAGTGTATTTATAGTTATAAAATATGAAATTGTATTATCTAATAAAATAATAAAAGAAATACTTTAAGCCTTATACAGTATATTAAATATACTTGTGCTATTATTTTATAAATTATAATAAATAATATAATTTTAAAGTATATCCCAAATAGCTTAAAAACAGCTTTGTAGTTCGCGTACGACATTATACAGTCACGGTGATAAATGTATAAGTTGTATAACGTCTTATACGACGTTGGAATTAAAAACTATAGATATTAGGTACACTCGATGTTTTATTAGTATTATTAAGTACCTATAATATATCTGAATCCGTTTTATAATAGTAGGTCCAATCTTGAAATTATCATATTGTAAGCCATAATCTTGTATATCCAATTAATCGTATATTTTTACTTTATGATAAAAACACGCCGAACGTGTGTGAACAAAAATGTTGTTTCTATTGGACATCAAATTATCAGAATGTGTTTTTAAAATAAACATTTATATAATATAAAAGTCCAAAAAAATAAACAGTACAGTCTATCTTCAAATGAACACATTATTTATATAATATTACACGATCTCTTAATATATTTGATATCGAAAAAGTGGATCATCGAATACATTTAACATATGCCATGTATATAATATATTATATACCTATAGGCTTTGTACCATCTATATTTTTCTCACGGAATGTATTTCTGACTGTTGATTGTAAGGTGATGAATACGCTGGAGGGTTATTATATTCTTGTGGGTATTGCATTTCTGCAGAAGAGGGTCCCGCTTGCATTGACATCGAATTCTGAAATTAAAAATAAATAAATAAATAAAATTAAACCATAATTTTATTGCCAATTTCGTTTTTTGCGAAATTTAAATGTTATTATTATAACTTTCAATTATTGCGCATCGTAATCATTATCAAGAAGTTGTAATCAGTGTTATTTTTATATGGTTTAGATTATTGATCAATATCAAACAGACTGCAGCTATACACGACATTTTTTTTTTTTACGTAATGTCGTAATGATCACCTATTGATTTACATTGTTTTAAACGTAACATGTTCACTTACAACACAAAATATATTATGCACTTAATGCATATTATATACTTATAAAATCGAAAGTTTGTAATTTACACAAAAAGATGTAATAATGTAATTCAGTAATTTGTCAAATTTAAATTGATATAACACATTTTTTTTTTATTATTGTTAATTACGTATTAATTATTATAAACTATCATATCGTTCGACAATTATTATTATACTTATTGGTTGGTGTAATACGAATTTACGAGGTGTTTTCGACACGGTTAATAATATAATTTTATAATGAGCTCGAAGACGCACTAAGTCTATCGGTGTTGTCCCAACTATAATATAATAATACATAATGGTACTTTACTGGAATGAAAATAAAAACTATTCTATATTTTCCGAATAAACAAGTTTTTATTTTTTATTTCTTTTAAAAACTTTCCCTGCAATAATATTATTACATCATATTTATGTTTTTTGTTTATATATTATTGTTATTATGTAGCTTTTAAATTAATATTAACGTAACGTAGAACGGTGATATATTCGTAGATTAGTAAAATAAGCACTCAACATTTAAAATGGAATTTTTTGTGTTGTTAGTTTCTCTTAATATCTTAATATATTAATATATTATACTATATTATCGAAACCTGTATGTGTACGTATTATTGAAAGAATGATCAATTCGAATTTCAATTTCAAAATTAAAATTCATGTTTTACAACCTAAAATGATTCAAATTAGGTACATATTATTATTTTTGTACAAATTATAGGTACGTAATTTTATTTATATAATAGCGCAAATTTACTACAGCTATATAATCGTTTCAATCATTATGTACTTGAAATACTGCCTTAAATTTTAATACACATAAAAGACATGAACATAATATCATGTGTACCTATGTCCGCCAAAATTCTGAGATTGTCAATTTGTATACATGATTTTAAGTTAACACTAATCAATGCGATATAAATATTGTATTGGTTGAACTACGTAATATTTTAATGACTTCTTTCGAAATGGCAATTTCGGTGTGTTGTCTTACTTGAAAGTGTGGCTCGGTGCAGTCGTGTCCGAAATGGCCGTAATACAGTTGAGGGTAGATAGGGTTTGCTACCGGAATTGGAATCGCTGCACCGTTGTAGCTTGGCTGTCTAGCTTCCTGTCGTTCTTGTAGTGGTGGTGCACTCTGGGTTTGGCCAATCGGGTTTGGTGCGGGCGACGCACTGAGCGTAATGTTCACGGAACCATCGGACGAATTTTGATTTACGACCGCCATATTGCTCTGGCGCTCGACAGTTGACGCCGTGGGCAACTGTTGTGTAATTATGAGCAGTTCGTCATTGTAAAAAGTTTTTACCACATATATCTGGCACATGTGGATGACTGTATGGATTTAAATAGATGTTATAGTGATTCAAGCATAAAACAACGACTAAATTTTGATGATGGTACCTATATGAATATATGATATATCATGATCATATACTTGGGTAAGAGAGATACAACGTAATATTTCGAAAAAGTATTTTTGATATTATTTATGAGTATCTTTATGAATATAAGTGTTTAATATAACTGTTTATAATTACGATTGTTTACTCCTTTGAAAAAAATACTTTTTGTTAAACGCTGAACATAATAAAAGTTGTATTATTATGTTTATAATTTTGTTGTGTTCATTGGTTCATTGTACATTTAGTATTGTTAGGATCTATTAAGCTATAAATAAAAGTAAAAAATAATGATAAAAGTGTTTAATATTATATTATCTAACTATAATAAGCTCTTTTTTAGCTTTGATTAGGTTAGGTTAAATTAATATATTTAAACAATATTGTAATTATTTTCTAGTTGTACTTAATACTTAAAACTATTTGTATAAAAATGAAATTTCTAATTCATTTTTATGCTTATAATTTAGTAAATACAGTTATATAACAGCTGTACATTTATTTAACATTTTTAAATATTCGATAACCTTATTAATATTCATAGCAAGGCATTTAAATTAAATTGAACTATAAGTTACGTAAGTACATTGTTATAATTGATGAAATTAGACTTCAGGATTTCAATCAGTGATTTATGTCTATTGTTAATTCATGGACAATATTATATTTTAGGTAGTTTCGTGTCTATATAAATAATTACAATTTATTATAATTTAAATGTGTATGTACTACGAGTTCAAAATTTAAATAGGTATTAACTACCTATCCATATACATGAACATATAATGCTATTGAAATTTATTATGGGATGCTTTTTTTAATGCGAATACTCTATTTATACGTATTTTTAAATACTCGAATTGCTTTCGGAAATGTTTATAATACTATTTTAATTAATTATGTGAATTTTTATTTTAATTATTTAAAAAAAATATTTTACCCGAGTATACCTGTGTGAGTACCTACTGAGTGTGTAACGATTCGTATAGAGATTACTATTATGATAAACATATTATAGTGATGTACTTACTCGAGTCTTTAATTTAAATTTAATTTTTACTGAATAGTTCTATAATACGTATATATCATTTTTTTTTATAGAGTTAATATTATAGATTGTAGTACCGTTAATGTTTTAACTACACATTTTTTTTACTTTATACAATTTACATATTATTAAAAAATAATTAATAAGATTTTACTTTAATTTATAGTATATTATTTCTTGATCATATTAATGTATTTTTATCCAAATTTTTTTTAAGTACGTATATTTAATTTTTATTGATAACAAATTCGAAAAATTGAATCGTTTTATTTTAAGTTAACGTTGATTTAGTGAAATACAAGTACAACTTTAAAAGTAATGTCTTTCAAATTAGACAGTAGATACCAGTGATATTATATGTCATATTATTAAGTTCGTAGTATTATATTATATACTTACTGCATAAAGGTATTGAATAATAAAGTATGATGGGATAGTAATTTTTGATCAATATGTAAGTAACGGACAGTATGTGAAACACCAGGAATATCGTGTTGAACGCTAACCAATGATAGATTTTATGAACTTTGTGCTAAAACAATTAATAACAACATGGTTTTTAATAATAAAATCCGTGTAAAATAGTTAGAAAGAAATAAACAATTTTAAATGCATTATAATAGGCAATAATCATTTTATGGTGTCAATGAGAACCGATCCCATAAATATTTTTTATCGTCAATAACTAATAAGTAACAAAATTATTAAAGTAAATAGTAACCTAATTTATGTTGGTTTCATAAAAATATTCTTGTGAACACTTATTCATATTTTTTTAGTGACAAAACCATAGATGTATTAAGCTTTTTCTAATTATTAGACAAAACTAATTAGTTCACTTTAGAATTAATTTTTATCAATGTTTATATTTTTTTAAATTTTTTTTTTTTGATTTGTTGTCAAACAACTCCTTTAAAGTGATGCTGTCAGGAATTAGGATACGGTTATTATACTATAACTATAATATATATGTAATACGTATAATGCACTATAATATACAAATAGTGTTAGTAGAGTAATAACATAATTGACTGATTTACAGATTTTTGCAATAAGAACTTTATTTATAGGTACAAAAAGAATCCTTACAATAATTTTAAATAAATAAAAATAATAATAACGATCAAGTACCAAATTATTATCTAAATCAAACTTTGAGTTAAGTTAAAATTAATTAATTTTTGATGTATAAAATTATTATACAGATATGTACTCACATCATATGTTGATTCTTTCAGGCAATAATTCACGTTAAGAAACATAGATATTAAAAACAAATAACTGAATATGATTAAAGTGTATAATATTTGTTCTGCACGTGTGTCATAGTAAAAATAATCATCTGAAAACAATACAAATTTGTTAATACAATATTGATTATTATTAAATTATACACAATTATATAAAAAGTTGAATTAATTTTTCGAATCTCCTTATCTTTTGAATCAACTATATATATTTTAGGTAATAAACTATAATTAATAATATGTCATCTCTCTTTTTCCTTTTTTTTTTATATTAATTTTAAATGTTGTACCGTCGTTAGACAGACTTTACCTATTTAACTTTTATGTATAAATAAATAAATTTCTATTTTTATACTGGATAATCTTCTTTTTAGGTAGATTAATTATGTTTCAAAACATTTGTATTTAAAGTAGTGAAATAGTACAATTAAAATTTATGAACTGGATAGAATATAGGATAAGTTCGACTGTACAATGAATAATTATTTTTAATCTTAAGTTATTGAGTACCTCATTATCCTCAAGTGAATCGATTATTTCAGAAACCTGTTAAGTGCAAATTTTAAAATTCCCAATTTGCCGCAGAAAGCTGTCAAATTCCATTTATTAACCGATTTCTGAACTAAACACATTATTATTTGACCAAAAATTAAACAGCCATAGAGTTTCGATACTTGGCGGGTTTTTTCACTAAACGAAGCGTTTTATTTCATAAAACAATAATCTGAACCTAACATATTTTTCATCATTTTGGTGTTTGACGGGTTTCTTAAATAATCGCTTTAATTGTATATGCATACATAATTATAAATTTTAATAATAACTATTATTTTAATAATTAACAGTAACAAGTGAATACCTTAGTATTGATTAAGTGAAGAAATTGAAGTATTGAATTCAATATTTATGTGTATTTATATCGAATGAAAAGTAGTTATTAATTATACTAATTATAGTTTATAAGCACATCAAATAGATGAAAAACAAAAGCGTTTACGACGGAAATTAGCACAAGTGATGTATTAATCATTAATTTGTAAATTGATAACCGTTATACCATGCACTTACCGTAGAATAGATTTAACAACATAAGGCATTTTATCAGAAGCAACACACTGATCCACTGGAAAAAAAAAAAATAAAAATATTACAATATATATGTTACCGGCAAAGTAGTGAATATAGGCACTCTATAAATTCCCTAGGAATTCTATAGAATTCCTTGAACTATTTGGCAATGTATTTAATTTGAATGGTAATTTATATTATGCTTAGGTATTCTATAAAATTCCTAGGATTTCTATAAAACGTCTATACTATGTTAGTCGTTAGGTAATGTGTTAAATCAAAATATGTTTATTATTTATTTTTATTTATTTATTGCAGCATATAGTTGATGCATGACATTTATAACTACATAAAATATTATGTTTTACACATAAGCATTTTTTAGATTGACATTTTCAATTTATCATTCAATAAATTAACAATATTTTTCGACTTTTTTCAACTTTTTTTTAGTTCAACATATAAACGTTCAGACGTTTTAATATATCTTAATACGACAAACACTTTTACAAAAGTGAAAAGAAATAATATTTTTAAAGACGTTTATTGAATTTTCCTGTACACACGAATAACATGATAATATGATTAGCTAATAATAACGATAATACATCGCACACGTGTTGTATGTGATAACTGATAACATAATCGTCAAGATAAATATTAATCGTTAATTACAGAGGTACACTAGGTACAAATCTAAGTTTTATGTTAATTAATATTATATATACTTTTCCTGCTTGAGGTTAGGTGATTTATAGAATACCTAGTCATTGTATTACATTCTATACTTTTCCTGCTCATTTTTGGTATTCTATAGAATACCTAGGATTTCTATATAATACTGGTTTCAACACATTGCCGGTAACATATATATATCAGATTGTGCTATCAAAATAAACGTTGTCATTATTCATATAGCGATTGTGTACATAAATAATAATAACAATAAGTTGTATATGTATGTATAAATATAATAATAATTTAATTAACTCTTGGAAATGGAAGAGATCATAGTTTGTTGTCATACAACACTATACATTTATGGTAAACATTTACTTGAAATATTATTTTTTAAATATTATTTGTTTAGTTTTACAGTTGGGTCCTGGATTTGTTTTTGTAATATATATATTATACTCTTTTAATACTTAAAATGTGTTTATTACAGATCGGCAGTCTATTATTTAACGATTATAAAAGTTTAGCTGATTAAACAGTTTTGATACAAAATTGATCGTATACGACATTTTAATGCGGAAATTTTGAAAAATATTTCCCTCACTCAGAAATAATTTAAGTACCTATTTAAATATTCGTATAATCACGGTTTTTAATATAAAATTTAAAAAATAATATTCTATGTTACTTTAGTAGAGAGAATAAACAACTTGTAGCCCTAAAAAAAAAAAAAAAATCTGACTACGAGTCTGACAGTATATATTAAAATAACGAAAAGTGTGAAGTATAAAACCTGAAACAAATATATTATATGCAGCAACAAAATATGACACATATCACGGAAATTATATTGATTGAAATATGTTTAAGTGCCTAGTTAAGCTTGAGTACGATTATCGTTTAATTTAAACAGCATATATATGATTACATATCATATTATGTTGTTTTTGTTGGAACGTCGTTTTATGTTATCGATGTAATATTATTATTTCAGCAATTTGGTACACGCAGTACTATTGTTATCGAAAATAATATCAGTGAAACAGGCACTGTAATATAATATCATACATATATATATAATATTACCTATATGTAAACATTTAAATTACAAGACTAGTGAATAAAAATAAAAATATGTGCCTACATAAATTGATATATTTTTTTATATTGTTTACACTTCTACACCCTTTTTTTCAGTTGAAACAGTATTGTTCATGTATACATATTATTTCAGTATAATACAAGTATAAATTATGCTTTCAGTATTGAGTGGACATGACGTAAAAGTCGTACATGCGAGTCATTTTCAATCGACCTGATGTATAATAATAGTAATTTAGAATTAAAGTAGATTAGTAAAGTAAATACATTTAATATCATTGACCATTAATCATGATTGAATACAAATCATAATATCGTATAAAAATTGACACTTGTTACTTAATTGAACTCGTCGATTTCGAGTATTAGTTTGTAAAATTATTAGACATTTTTATTTTTATTTCATAAACTCTCACTTCGCATGGTTCATTTTTACTACTGAACAATCGCGTGCTTCGTGATATTTAATTCGTATTTTGATTAAAAACTGTTGTTCAAGTAAATTCAAGATGGTAAATAAGTTATAGGTACCTAAATAGTATTTTATAAAGCAATATTAAAGTGTGAGAAATTATTTTCATTTCAACTTTTTATGTCGAATGAAAACATACTATTGTTTGTTACTTAAAAAAGTTCAGTAACCACTTAAAGAGCAATATAATATAATGACGTTTATAAAGTATTATCGTTTATAACATTATAGTTTTATGGCAAACATATACAGTTAATTTTATTGTTTTATTGTTATAATAATACTAAATATTATATATAATGTATCTATAAAAATCATTACTCATCAAACGATTGATGAAATAGGTACTTGAAAAGTCATAATAGAATTTATAAATTTAGAAAGCGAGTTATTATTGAATTATACAAATATAATATAATATTTAGGTATATTATAATAATTAGTGATTAGGTAGGTATAGCCATAGCCCATAGGTTGGTACATGCTTACATAAATCTATAAAACAAATATATATCTTTATGTTTGTTTTATTTATGCTAGATATTAATTAATATTACTAACACATAAGTCATGAAGAATAAACATGGTGTATATATATTATCTACCTATTGTCTACTTAGTAGTTAATAGTATCTGCAATATTGATAAAAAAATTTTTGTAAAAAATGTGTAGACAATTATTTATCATTATACTATAATATTTCGCAACATAATATACTTTTAAACAACAAAATTTCGTTTACATTTTTTAATTTAATAAAAGACTTTGCGAAATATCCAATTAGGTGTTCAATCAAATTCTACAAATATGATTATCATTTGTATTATGATGGATTTGTCGTGTGCGTTACAGAATAGCTATAGGTACTCAATTATGAAATTATGATAGGTAAATATTTAAACGTTAAAAATTGATTTAATTATTTTTGATATTCTTAACTTAAAAAATTGGAAAATTTTGAAAAACTTTGTTCTTTATATTTTTAAATAAAACAATTCAATGTTTTTTTTCTTTTTTTTTATATGATTTCTACATTCAGTAAATTCAACTTTACCATTTCTCACTATGCAATCATTATTTCAGTGATTTTTGAAATTGTACTGATAATAAATTATAGTCATTATCACAGTAATATTATATATTAAATACACATAAATATGCTTGTGCTGGACATATTTATTTATGTTCTTGAGTAGTAAATTAACTACTTATAAATGAAATCTATGAATTATAATTTATTTCAGAAAATTAACAAACTGATTAAAATATCTACACACCATGTTTTCACAACTATTGTAATATCTATGTTAAAGTTCAAAAATTTCATGAAATATAAAATTGTAAAATATTTCAATATTTCAATAAAAAATTTTTTGTTATTTATTTATTTTTTCAGTAAACTTTATTTTTATGTACATTTATTGTTAATAATTGTTTTTTCATTACTATAAAATAATTAAAAATTTATTTTTACATCGACAATAAAACATACAAAAATGTTTAAATAATACAATATCATCTGATAAGTATAGAATATTTACATTACAATACCGTTAAATACACGTGCGTTTTGTTGCCCCCCCTCTCTCATTCGAAATTAGTAAAAAAAATTATTTAAATATTTAGTACGCAATTGAGCAATTCACATGAATTTACACGCCACTCCTTTATCCACAATTTCAACTTCAAAAGGGGGCATCAAAATACACGTGTTAAATACTTATATACTTCAAAATAATAATACTTTAATATGTCTACTATGGTATTTAATGTCTTAATATAATTAGTATTTGTGTTAAATAAATCAATGTTTCATATTTTTGTGAAATATTTTACATGTGATGAAATATTTCAAATTTAAAACTACTATTCATGTCCCAAATGTAAAATTAACTATTGTAAAATGTTAAATCTATTATTAAAAATAAATTTACTATTCTTTGTATTAATCATAGAGGCAATAAGTCATGATAAGCTACATATATTTTATACATACTTTACAAATCTTAAAAAAGAAAAAGAAAATAGTGTTAAATTTTTAACATACTTGTAAATATATAGCGTTTGATGAATTGGCATAAAAATGAAATAAAATTCACTATTTTAATATTTATAGTTATTTGTAAATATTAACCAATATTATGATTATAAAAAAAGTTATATTTTAAGGAGTAAAAACTAAAAAGTATTAAAAATTACTATCGCTTAACTAATTACAGTTACCTAATATTTTCTGATGATTAATTATTCGATTAAATTGAATCCAATCAAATCATATAGTTGCATTTAAAAGATGACACTTTTCATCATGTTTGCAGAATGCAGATAAGTAAATCGTTTTTGTTAACGAGTGTATATGTATATTATTTTTAAATCAAAAATAAAAATTTATAATAATTACACAAATCCATATATATTATATTTAAATATATATCATATAGTTTATACATATTATATTTTAGTATTAAAATATATTGAAATTAGTATACGACATTTTTTTTAAATTTATCATATTATATAAAAATGGACTTGGAGTAATTTATAGTAATTATAGTTATTTTACTAATAAATTATAAATATAATTGCTGGTAAAAATCCGCAACGATCTTTTTTGAACCGTATATTATTATTATTATAGATATTTTATAACGATTTAACATACATCATATTATATTTTGGTACCCAATTCAAAACAAATTATAAAAAGTTTATAAATATACCTTATACCATATACGTTTCGCATGACGAGAAACATTTTTTTAAATTTTATTACTTTAATGTAAAAACTGAAAGTCTGTTGTTCTGATTATGAAAAATAATATAAAAATTAATAAGAAAACGGACGTAACCCCGAAAAAATGTACATGTAGAATATATATAAATATAAATATATAACATATACTTACAAAATCCACTATGGAAATTATCCGGACACCGATACGGACGTCGGTGCAGCCCAGAAAACATTTGGCGAACGTCATAATCTATTGTTTGCGGTCTCTGTAGCTGGACGAGTTGATAAAACAAATATCGACGTCGGAGGCAGCACGATTACTGTATAATATGAATACTTTTTAATAAAAATAAATTATCGAATTGTAATTTCGTATTGTATCGATTAAAGTAAGTAACCCGTACTTTAGGTCGTATTATACTAACGACGATATTCTTAGATGAGCAGTGCTACGGACACGTCTACGACAATCCGATTTTACGAATGGATTAAGACTATAATATATAAGTACCTAAATAAGTTATATTATGTCAAACACAGAATTACGGTGTGTATGATGAGTATGCGACTTCTGAGTAAACGCATCAAGTACGTATATTTATATTATACGTATAAAACGTGTGCGCCTCCCGTCAAAGATAAAACGAATTTGAAGTGTGTGATGGTTTATTATGAGCCATAAGTCAATTCAAGGTAATTTAAAACCCGCCTCGAACTCTCGAACACTTAAAAGCGATCAGTCCCTTTTTCCGTCAATTCAATTTTTTTTCAAATTTACAAATATAACAATTATTGAACTTAACATTTTTATATTTAATTAAACATAAATATGTGATTTTTAAATAAAAATTATTACATAAAACTGCAGCTTAGAAAAAATATGCCTTCATAAAAATGTAAAAAATTAAGGTTAAGTTTTATATTTTAAAATTATGCAATAATTGTTTGAAAAATTTAAGTATGTGAAAAAAATAATAAAAGTAAAATAATTTACAATAAAATGTTTTGAAATATTATCTTAGTCAAATTAAAAACTAATTTTTGTTTAATAAATGTTACTATTTTTATTATGTTCTATCTAAGTTTGATTTCGTTTATAGTTGATTTTTCGAAAATATATATAAACTTGTTTATCTATGATTATTACTTGTTTGATATAATATTAATTTAATTGTCATGTTTAGTTATTATAATTATTGTAAATTAAAAAAAAAAAAAACTGTACCGGTCGAAAAGGGAACTGCAGTAAGTTTTGACCGAAAAAAGTGACGCTCAAATGAACATATTCGGCCGATCGTTATTTTAAATGAAATTCATAGTTTATTTAGTGTTTGCATATAATTATTATACCATTTATACCTTGATTTTAAGCAACATTTTGATATTGTACTTTTAATTAAATTATACGGAAATAGGTACCTAGAATGTTTTATTTTAAGTTTTTTTTTCATTGGGTGGGGCCTAAGGCTATTAGCTAACTATCTAGTGTGTTATCTCCTGCAAGAGAGTAACTTACAGACACCTAACTGTATGATATATCAGTTAGATAATATTTTGTCAAATTTTTTTATAAAAAATGATATAGCACACGATTAATAAAATTAATCACTACGCTGTTATCAGCTGTGTAGGTTAGATATTAGGCCACTCTGAGAATGTTGTAATATATAAATTCCTATAATATAATTCATATTAGTCATTATACAAGCTTTCAGGTTAATGACCTCGATGTATATTATATCAAAACTATCATTTATCGGTTTTCGTATTCCTTATAATTTTATTATTGTTTAATATTGAACAAAATGTATGTCACGGTCATAATTTATGCAGATTCGATTTATGTAAATGTTTAAAAATTAAAAGTCTAATTACAAATTTTCATCGAACATTAAAAATGTTCAAATTTAGACTGTATAAATAAAAGATAGCTAATTAATCAATGTATAGCCAAAACTATGATGGGTACACAAAAACTTGAAAATTGCATAACGGGTATCTCAGAAGTCAGAACCATAATGCAGTGGCGTGTTAAGAAAGCATTTTTAAAATAATTAAAATTTTAAAGATAGGTTCATACTGAGATTTTGTTTTAGGTTGAAGAGCCAAATTATTAATGTCTAGAAAATGCTATTATAAATATTTGGTAGAAATATCAAGTCTCTACGGATATTTATTTTTATTTTTTTTAATCACAACTAAAAATCAAAATTGGTTTTAGCGCAAATATTTCTAATTATTGTAATTTTTTTTCCCCCAATTATATGTGAAGTACTAGAAATGTTCTAAGTATAAAGTAGATCGAATTTTCTAGTATAAACCTTCCTTGAAGATGAAGATTTTAAAATGTTTTCATCATTGTAAAACTAATATATTTATCACTCAGCTAAAAATCTAAAATGGTGAAATCGATGCTATTGACTTCTGTAAACTACAATATGCTTTTATTGATTCGTATTTATCTAACATGTATAGATAATGTTGTTGATTTAAAAATTTTTAAATCAATAATGGATTATAAACATAAAATGGAACAACATTAAAGCCTTTAGTTAATATAAGTATCTACATGAAATTATTTTTAATGGCAACGAATACGATTACGAAATAATAATTATATATTATTTATACTTTATTATAGTTATATTAGTACAGTTTGATGAACTATGTAAAATAATTTTAACTATATAACTATATTAGAAGATTATATTTATGGGAGAGGGTGGTGGGCAAATATAATATAAGTAAATTAAGTATAAAAATACTCGAAATTATTAGATTAATGTTACATAATGTATTTATTTAAATTCTAACTTAATTATTATACATAAGGTATGTATCATAGATAAAAGTCGGTTTTAATAATGTATAAAACTAATAGTTACTTATTGTATACTATTATTTAGGTTTTCATTCATGAATATTTTCTAATTTTATTCTGTTAAATTTGTTTAACATGGTTATTTAATGAAAACAGAGTTTATATTATACAAAAATTACATTATTCTATGGCCAATGACTTTTTTCCAGTTTAATTAACAGTAAAGGAAGCTCTATGTGAACAATACTATACTCTTCTCGCTGTCATCTGACCTTAGCCTTAATCGGTGGATTTACAAAATAACTATTATATTATATTATGTTTATAACATCAGTTACTAGTAAAGAAGTAACTTCTTTGATTTTTATTATAAACATTATAATATTATCTGTGAACCTAATTTTTATTTTTTTTCTCATTTAAAAATTACAATCTCACAGCTACTAAATACATGAACATTTTTATTTAATCTCTTGAATTGTTCTCGAGAGTAATTTGAAAATCAATCAATGTCAGTTTATTATTTCATTGCATATTGAAATTTAAAAGTGATTACAAACTTAATTTAAGGCGTCTGGAAAAATTATTAGGTAATATTTTAAAAATGAAGATTATTATTTTTAAACATTTTGAATAAAAATAAGAATAATAATTGAAAAAAAATGATTCTTTTAGTTTTTAATAATACAGATTTAATTTCCATGTCTTTAATATTGGTATCAATACTTATTATTATTAGTTAAAAAAATAAAAAAATTAAATTGCTCAAATATTTTATTCAACTTATGACATAGTTTTATTTACATTTTTCAAAAATTATTTAATAAATCGAATTAAAACAGCTGATTTTTTTTAGTGAAATCATAATGTCATTAATAATAAAAACTACGGCGAATGTTTGGGAAATGGAAAAAGGATTTGATATTATTTTATTTATTGACAAAAACAATGTCCACAATAGTGAATACTCGAAGAACGAATGTTTTCGTCGCATAAATGTCAAATATCCATTCCAAAAGTTGTAAATATTTTTAACATTAGTTTCATTAGAATTAACATTTGAATTAAAATAGGTAAATTAAATAATACGTATAAATAATTTATAATGTATTATTTTTATAGACATGTAAATCAAAATACATAGTATCTGATATAACTTAAAATTTAGTATTTTGCTTACTTTACATTATAAAAAATAAAAATACTTTCGTTCATTTATAGGCAATTAATTCGATTATCGCAAAATAGTTTACTTAAGTATTGACGATACCTAGCCTCTTTTTTGATTTTTAACTGTTTCTGCTTTTTGGCCTCATTTAATCGCTTTACCTTCATAATTGTCATACCTATACAATTGTGATCTTAGAAATCGTACATATTGTTATGTACAATTAATAACCATTAAAACAATAGATATTCGTACAACCTAATATTTGAAAATAAAAATATATGCATGTTTTTATTGGCATATTCGTATACTTCATTGGAGTTGTATTGTTTATTTCTTTTATTGGCTTTATTAAGTACATAAAACATATATTTACATATTTATTCTGATTGATCGTATATGTTAAGTGAGAACAAAATTTTTTTCATAACATGATGAAACTTTTTTAGTGCATATTTTTGCATGTTTCGGCATTTTTTTATTTTAAGGGCTTATTTTACAATTTTAATTGCATAATTCACCTTTTAAACTTTCGTGCATATGTTGATATTTTTTTAGACATTTTTTAAATATATACTATTGCAGTCTATTATAATATAAGAAAAAGTGTTGTATTTATATAGTTTCGATTAATATCAAAATAAATTAATAGGTATAAACAATTAATCTAAATATGACTTTAGATCAATAATCGGGGAAATAACATATATTAGATTAATCTTATCAAGATAAGAAAATATCGATTACGGCCATGATTAAACACTGACATTATTTCAATATTGTTCAAAATATAATTTTTTTATTTTTCGTGCATATTTAAGATTTTTTAGCACATATTTGGTTGGTTTTTAGTGCACATAAACCCGCACTCCAGATATCAGGTACTTATGTGTGACAAACCTTTTATTTTACTTTCGATGATTTATGACTTACTAAAAAATGTATGTATTTACTATAACTTCTGAGCCCTATTTATCACTAATTAAAGAACATATTTTTTTGATTAAAAAATAAATGTATATACACCTAGATTTTACAAAAAATGGTTTTTTTTAATCTTATTTTGTGATATGAACTCCTACTGTCAATTTATTCATAATTTACACCCAGTGTTTATTATTAATCTTAAATAACACTTAACGTTAACGCACCCATTTTATTTTATGTGTTCGGCTCTGCAGATTCTTGACAAGGATTATAAACGTGTTGGGAAAATCGTGCGCACTAGTATATTCTGTGTACGGCGAGTCCATATGCTGTTTGTTGCTGAACGGCTCGCAAACTCAGCGGAAAAACGAAAACAGCTACGTAAAACACGGTCATGGCAAGAAAAGGAAGAAAAAAAGCAGCATTATGTCCGACGTCGAAACCGGACTGCGGACCATCAGGGACCGGTTAACAGATTACCGATATCTGGGAGTGCAGTGCTGGACGCGACCAGTCGCGTATGATTTTGAGCTAATTTTCCGAACAGTATTCCGCAAAGACAACAGCGATTTCTGGCTGTGCAGCCAGTGGAGGCAGTTGCCGTCTCCCCGCGAATTTGTCCGCATTGCCGATGAATTTAACAACAATAATTGTGGGGCACCCCGCATCAAAAGTATGAGTATATTTTTTGTCCTACGTTAATCCTTAAAATTTGACTGATAATAATAATGATTACAAAGTTTTTTAGTATTTCATTTTTAATGATGAGAATTACTGAGTGTCTTTGAGTTCATTATTTTGTTTATCTGAATTAACTGCTTATTACCTAGAATAAACATAAGTAGAATAAACATCTAAAATTACTATTTTGAAGTTCAAACTAAGTTAATTAAAAGTTAAACACTTATAATTAATATTATATTTAACCATTAACACTCGTGGACAGTGGACATGTTATTTAATGTGTAACATATTATATCTAATGAAATTTAATGATAATGTAGATATTCCACTCAAATTATTTGAAAATTGAGTGCCCAAACATTGCTTACTATTATGTACAATGATAAAAAAAATACTACCAAACCTTTTTCTAAGCAAAAATTAAAAATTAGATATTAATTTAAATATTTAAAAAAATTGATATAATCAAATCTTTGCATGTAATTAAACATGAATTTATTTAAATTCTTTGTATTATTTCTATGGGTTATGAATATAGACGTTCTATTTTATCATATTATAATATAGTTATCAAGAAAAATAATGCCAACGACCGAAAATCGTCAAATAAAATAATATTGCCAACGACGACGGCGTTTATCCCAAAATTGAAACCCATGATAACAGTCGCCATCGAACTGCTGCAATTCGACGATGATTATGAGAGACCAAGTAATTATAATATTAACTGCTTTATTTATTACTTTTAAAATGAGTAACATTTACAAAGTATAATATATACATTATTTAATTGTTAAAAAATATAATTAACACAAAAAATTGGTAAAAAAAAAATCAAAATTAGTAAAATTATTACAAAGCATAAACGTTTGGTTTAACAGGTTATTTTGTCAATACACTAAATATACTTAGTATGTACTGAAGTACTTAAGTAAATTTAGTATACATAAGCATACTAAATTTGTACCACTTCTACAAATGAGTATTGTTTTTTTTTAGAACCTGAACTAGATTATTAAATTGTAACTTATTCGAGCAGATAGTGTTAGATATTCTTACAATATCATTTAAATACAACTTATTCAATTTTATGTCATTGGTAATATAATTTTTTTAATGGAATTTTAGAACATATTATATCGTTATATTTATACACACTTAACACTTTAAAGTGTATTGAATACCTACTGATTGCACACATAAAATTATTTTTTCGATTATTTGAATATTATATAATCATTCTGTTATAGCTATGAAACCACCAAACATACCAGTGATTAAAATAATTCCACAAAATATTTGGGAATTAGACACAGACGTTGATATTGTTTTATTCCTTGACTTGGAAACCATGTACATGGACGATTGGGAAGATGAAGTAGTGGAACGTGTTAACGACTATTATCCTTTCAAAAATAGGTATTAATTAATTATGGATTATTTAACCCAGATACTTCATGAGTATAGTGAAATACTTAGTTTTTGAATAAAGTATAATGAATAATTATGGGTTATAAAATATTGTGTAACTACACAATTAGATGTGTACCTATTATTATTTACATTGTTGAATACTACGACATTTTGAAATTTTATAATATTATTCGATACCAACGGTTTTTAAGAAATTAAATTTTTACAGCTTTTAAAGTACGCGCGCGTTTGTACTGTAAATACATGCGTAGTAATTTATCATAAATCATTAATAGATGTATGTTATGTGAATGTAGCGAAAAATGAATAGCGGTGCCGGTGCATCCGAATTGCATGTCAAAAAAATTAATATAAATTGTAATGTCCAAATTGTATGCCATCTATTGGAGGGATCTTTCCGAATTGCATGCCATGTATAATTTTTCTAAATACAATAGTTTAACTTACTTATCTACTGAAGGAATAGTTTTTAGTTAAATTACATTCATTACAATAAAATATACAAATATTTGAGAAAGTGACACTGTAATTATTAAGTATTACCTAAGTAAGACGATTGTAATTTATTAGACGTGAATGTATTTTACATTTTTAAATGGTATTTTAAATAAACATTAATATTATAGAATTTGATAGATTTTTTTGGCATATCAGGCATTGAATATCATAATTTCAATATACAATATACCTACTATATATAATAATAATAATAATAATAATACTGTCTATTTATTGTCGTATTCAACGTCATTTGAAAAAATATTGTTTTATTTATCTTATTGTCGGCAACGCCATACATGCAAACTTTTCTACGTATATAATTTTATTAATTTCATTAATTTTGTGCACATAAGCGCATGATAAATAATGCATGCAATTTGGCCAGATCTTTCTATGAGGCGATATGCAGTTCGGACTACTTTTTTTTTTTTTTGACATGTAATTTGGATACAGCCAGCTGGAGCTTACCCATACTTATACGGATGCCTATAAAATATTACCCAAATTTAGTAATTATCTATTTTTTTTTTTTTAAAGGAATTCTTTTAAAAGTCTTTTGTAAATAGTTGTATTAACATAATTCGATATGAATTTGACTTGAAAACGACTTTCTAAAGTATATTTTTAAATACATTTTTTTAGATCAATATAAAATAAACATATTTTGTTTTTGTTACTTAAAAACTATTAAAATCTAAAATTTAAAAATTTAATATTGAATGGTTTAAGAGTTAATTTTCAAAGTTTTCAAATTAACTTTATGAAAAACTCAAATATGTTTTCAGAAGTTTTATCTGATTATTAATATAGTCGGTACGATTTTCTATTTTGATAAAAAACACAGCCAGGATAGAATCATCTAATAAAAATCTCATAAAAACTTTTATACTTTGCTATTTGGAAATTGTTTTTTAGATATATATCTACTATATTATTATTTAGATCTAATTATGTTTTAGAATTTTTTGTAATTATTTCATTTTAATATCAATTTATTATGATATGTTATTTGCTCTAACATTGAAACAAAGTTTCATTCGTATAACATACTAATCTATTATTAAATCTGTTTTCAAAATGTTATTATATAATCACAAAATCAATAATTAGAATACTTTGGTTAAAAACTTAATTAAGTGTTTTAAAGTATTTCTTATAAGAAATATGCAAATGCTTTAAAATCCCAACCCTGATAATGGCATTATTGTGAAATCATAATATTTCGTTGTCTTTATAATGTATGCGTTAAATTGCAAATGTAAGTATGGTAATATATTTATATTTGACTGCAGTTTTCAGTATATTATTTAGCTCACGTCTCGTTGTACATTGCAGGTTGTTGCATGACATACAGGTTATGCCCCTTGGCTCGGGCACCGTAAAAATATATCGACAAAATGGCGTGTCGATATTCTGCATATTCTTCAGCAATCGCATGACCACCTTTAGCGACTGGATGGAAAATGCACTGATCGGCATCAAGAGAATGTTAGCAGGTCACGTACAGTTGGCCATCCAACTGGATTTGTCTCTATCAAAGTTTCAATTGAATATCTACAGTAATCTTTACTTTTTTTTCCAATCGGTGTTCACGTACGACACAGTTATTATATGGTTATGTGGTAATGGCGTGTAATTCTAAAGGGAATAAGGGAGAAATAATTAATTAATGTTATATTTTGCGATTTTCAAACTTTTGAATTATATTTTTAGATTCCAATTTTTTTTTTCATTATTTTATATAACAAATGAAATTTTTTTTATGTTTTCACCTGTTATTAAGAGTGTTTTAAATTTATCCTTTATAAATATTGAAAAGCCTTTTGTGTTGTATTATAATAATTTGTATTTTGCACTATTATAATAAATTTGTCATATTGAAGATTTTTTTAAATATTATGCAAGATAAAATCATATTAAGTAATATAATGAATATAATCAATATGAAATATTAAAATAAGTAGTAGACTTATTGCAGTCTTATGTGCATATATAGTTGCTTAATTATCAACAGATGACTAATCTTATGAACAGTTATTAATACTATAAATAGTTTGTATTTATATGTCTAAAGCTGATAAAAATATTAGTAAATAACTACTATACACTTGCATACATTTACTAATCTTGTAAACTAACGTTTAGAATATGAATCACGTAAACAACGTTCACGTCATATCATTCATGACGATGGAAAATAAAAATGTATTCTTATATTGATATTTTGCGTAGATATCTAATATGATAATTAATTAATTAAAATTCATAGAGGGTAAGTTTAATGTTTTTATTTTATATATGATATTATATACTAATATATAAATACTTTCTAAGTTCTTGTATAGGTATTATTCAACAGGTACTAAAACGTAGTTTGCAACACCTTAAATATTAATTAGTATACCTTCATAACTGGAAAATATTCATCATTAATTGCTGCTATTTTGTCCGAACATTCAATTATAAAACAAATAATCGATGTTAGACATTGTAGTTAGTCATTTTTACTGTGGCAACAATATTAAAAATGGTAGTTGAAATACAAACCATACAATATTAATGGATATACTTATAAAAAAATTTAGATACTTATAGATATAAAATACTAATATTAATATAATGAAAATAATGATAATAATAGTAATGCAAAATCAACACTTGAGGTCAACAGGTACTAATAGTGATAATAAAAATTAGTAACTTTTAACTAATAATAATATGCTAACTATGGCATATAAACACTTTTGTTGTCTATAATATTGTTGTTGTTTTTTCAGTTCGTTTTTGTTCTGTATGAATTAAATTCTTTTATTTTACACCAAAAATGGCCCAATTAAAGTCTTACAAACTTTCAATCTATGGATTCTAGTTTGGACATGGTCATACTTGTAATTAACAAGTACTACAGAAATATTAAACTTTAAATAAGACAATAAATTGATCATGAAAAATGATGGTTAGTTTCAAAATCACCAATGCAACGATGTTTATTTTAAAACAAGTCATAATCAACATATTTTTGGAAAACAATAATAATATTTTATGTTCTAATAACTGTAGGTATACCTATACCTACCTACTATCATATTTTTGCAATTCATTATAATCAAATAAAATTTTAATATTGCTCAAGTCCCAAGACGTTTAGGTAATTTTTTGTTTTCATGAAATATTTCGATGTTTATTCAAAACCATACCTATATGGCTTATACTACAAAGTCAATTTTGAAATCAGTTATATAAAAAAGAAAAACCTACGAAATTATTGGCTTTAAAAATTGCATATGATGATATTAACAACAATACCGCCTATATCAAAATTATAAAAACTATTACATCTATAATTATAACTATAATATTTTCACGGATAAATATGTATATACAACGTCAATATGAATGTAGGTACACTCCAAAGATCTGATTTTAAATGTGTTATAAAATCATTGAGTAAACTTTTAACATTTTTTTCTGTCCCTAAAAACTATTATAAATTAGTCTCAGCTGATTTTGAAATTACATGTCTGTTATTCATTAAGAACAAAAAAAAAAAAATCGTTAAAAATATTGTCAAATCGTTATTTTAAACTTAAAATCACTTTATTCAAGATTAAAAAAAAAAAATGGTATGAGAGAAAATAGCCAGATCGATATTATATACATACCTACTAGTACTTTGCCCGTCGTAACGAACAACTAGTAAACCGATTAACTTGGTAATAAAAACTAATAAAACCAATAACCATATACGATATTTTTTTTATCCTGAACTCAAATGGATTTTAAATGAATAGTTTTTGCAATATCTTCAAAATACGAAATTATACTAGGAAAGTGTAAAATTGAACGGAAATCGGTTATGTATACCTACAGTATATTATTATCAAATACCGCAAATTTTTATCGTAATAATTTTTACTGTTTAGGTACCTACTATATACTCTATACTATTAAAACCCGACTGCATATCAAAATATTTATAAAGTGGTAATTTTTAAAATTAATTATATATTGTTATATATTTGACGTACTATGATTTTGTTTACTCGGTGAAACGCGTAATCTGTAATAAATGGTAATAGTCGTATAATCAATAATAAATATTAGTATTTATAATCATTAGTAAAATTATATTTTATTAAGCTATTAATGTATAGAACTCGATTTTATACTTTTATCTCGTCTTTAAATGATATATTTTATTCTATTATGTATTTTTGACGTTTTAGTGATAGTTATTATAATCACTACTGCGTACTTTATGAATCATAAATATAATTGTATACTATACTTGTAACAGTCGTAACACACATTTCATACGGTGTCGCTTAATGAATCAATTAATAGCATAATCATGTTTAATTCAGGACGATGAGTGTAGTAAACACTGTGCAGTTTTAATCAAACCATTAAAGTATTGTGACAATTCTACTCTAGAAAAACTCGAAATGCTATATCCACGGATGAGGATACGAATTGACCCGAATACTAAATTACATTACGAGACTCCAAAATCACTTATATATTTATACAGTTATTCGCCACTAGCACAATCACCACTCTTAATGATAAAATCATATAAAAGGGAGATCGCTGCAAGAGTTCGTCAGACGGTTAGAGAAATCTGAGGCTTTCGGAATTAGTCATTACACCTTTTACAACCGTGTAGCTTACTATTAAAATTTTGTATTTTTAAGTAAATGTAAAAAAAAATACTACATTATTATACTTTATACATCACGTTTTCATTCATGCATAGATGCATTTATACAATTTATCTTTATTATTTACAATACTTTTTTTTTATGTAGGTAGATATATATCTATTGATCTAGATCATAAAATACTAAAATATAGGAATAATATACTTTCTAATCCTGCAATAATGATGTCTGTGACAATTTAAATGTCCATGTTGGATTTACCCCTTATAAAATTTGGTTAAATCTAAACTATACATATATTTGTAACACATTAATTTGGTAAAAATCTGACCAAATATAAAATATAAGTCTAAAATTATATACAATTTTAATAAATATTTTATTTAGGTACTGATTTTCCCTTTTTATGAACAAATAAACTTATGCACGAGTCCCTATTTAAAAATTTGGTAAAAGATGCTTTTCCTCAGATATATGATTATCTATGCATTAGATTTTTGGACCATAAATGGAATAGACTGTGAATTGCTTATACACCGAACACATTGCTTTTTATCAATATATATATATATATTTACATGTATATATATTATACATATTTATCCGTGAAAATATTATAGTTATAAATTATAATTATAGATGTAATAGTTTTTATAATTTTGATATAGGCGGTATTGTTGTTAATATCATCATATGCAATTTTTAAAGCCAATAATTTCGTAGGTTTTTCTTTTTATATAACTGATTTTAAAATTGACTTTGTAGTATAAGCCATATAGGTATGGTTTTGAATAAACATCGAAATATTTCATGAAAACAAAAAATTACCTAAACGTCTTGGGACTTGAGCAATATTAAAACTTTATTTGATTATAATGAATTACAAAAATATGATAGTAGGTAGGTATACCTACAGTTATTAGAACATAAAATATTATTATTGTTTTCCAAAAATATGTTGATTATGACTTGTTTTAAAATAAACATCGTTGCATTGGTGATTTTGAAACTAACCATCATTTTTCATGATCAATTTATTGTCTTATTTAATATTTAATATTTCTGTAGTACTTGTTAATTACAAGTATGACCATGTCCAAACTAGAATCCATAGATTGAAAGTTTGTAAGACTTTAATTGGGCCATTTTTGGTGTAAAATAAAAGAATTTAATTTATACAGAACAAAAACGAACAAAATAATTAAATGATTCATTATAATTTAATATTAGACATTGCATATTTTTTTAATCATCTAAAGTAAAAATTATAAATACATATATAAATGACAAATATTATAAAAATGTAATTAAATTATAGTATTCATAATTAATTTTGGTACTTATAGTTGACTTTTGCTATAGTAGGCATATTTTCGTCTACAAAAAAATAATATGAATAAATATTTTCATAATAAACTTTTTGGTCGTTTAGTAATCCATAATTTTATTTGAGGAATAGCCAAAACTTTGTGTTTAAGAGCTGTAAGATGTGGACGGCCATCAACTAGGTCGACATCGATTACAGATTTTAGGTGATCCAAAATTGACACAAAGTATAAGTCAGGCCAAGACAACTGTGAAACAAAAAAAAATTTATAGATCTAAATTAATGGATATGTTTCAATTATTATTTCTAATAGTTGCAATAATTGATTTAACTATTGATTAAAAGATATACAATAATCTAATATCTATAAATAATATTTGATAATATGATACTTTTAATTATAAAAATAATATATATATATATATATATATATATATATATATATATATGCATTATACAATATACATACCTTTCCATTTACAAAGTATCCACCGTTTTCAGAAACAATTTTTTCAAATTTGTCAAAGTAGAATGGAATTGAATTATTCACAATAGAGTCACGCAATTTTGTTTTGATTTCCTCGTTTGATTCGTGATAATAATTCATGATTTCTTTAAAAAAATATTATAATATTTATACTTAATAAAATTTGATAAAATAATAATTCAGAAAAATTTAATTAAAATACTACTTATAAACAAATTAAAAATATAAAACCTTTCATTAAAGAAATGGAAATATCCTATAACGACACAAGAAGAGAAGAAATAATAATCACTAGAGTGAAAGTAAGAAACACATTTAAGCTAGGTATTCCTACCTCATAAGTCATCACCAAAGTACTACAGTTAAGTTTATGGAATCAACATGTAAGATTTGCGATGAAATTATAATGGTCAATTACATTTTGTCCAAACGCTCAAAACACACGGAAACACGGAAAATATTTACTGACTCAGTTTCACTACAATATGCACTTACTTAAGAGAACGTTACAACTATACTATCATGTCTTATCTTCTTTTACAAAGAACATAGCAAATTTGTTTTAAATAGAACCAATTACATATTGTAAGCTATAATATTAGAATGAATTGATCGATCATAAAGTTAAAGGTAATGACATTATTTGTGCTTAAGCATACATTTTTTACAATATTTTTTTAAATTTAGATACTATTATTATTGTACATATATGTAATACATAATATTTTTTATATTATATACTTAATATTTATATGTATTAAATAAATATTTTTAAAAATAAAAGTTATTACTTGGTTATTTTTAATTACATTTATTAAATATTTATGATACAGAAATTTTATAGTTAGTGAGATAATAATATAATAAAATTGTTTTGATCTTAAAATATAAATTACAGCACTAACCTTGTCTTATTTCGTAAATGTTATCAACAGCAACGTCAATTAATAACGATTCCCATTCATCACCACCGGCCAACCCGGCTTTTTTCGCTAAGTATCGACAAATGGCTACAGACTGATTAACTAGTTTTCCATCGATTTCCAATACCGGGACTTTGCCAAACGGCATGGCTTAAAAGAGAAAAAAATTACCCAACATTATATACTTTGAAAATACAGTGAAATTATTATACAATATTATTTATTTATTATGAATTATGAATATATAGAATTGTATAGGAAATATATGTTTATAAATACAGTAGTTACTTACTAGATTTGATCTTTGGCCATTCTTCAAATTCAAATCGAACGTCTTCAAAATCGACGTTTAGATATGATAAGAGAAATCGGATCGGTTCAGCCCGAGCCGTTAGGTTAAAATACGTCAATTTATACGACGTCATGATGCGGCGTTTGGAAGTATATCGTATTAATGCTTATTATAAAATATACTTTAAAGCAAAAAATAATGTTTATTGAGTTTTAGCGACGTAAGTAAAATAACGTGTCAATGTATATTACAATAATACTATACGACTACGTTCAGCACTTGAGCGGTAGGAATGAAAAAATAGAAAGTAGACACCTCCGCCGTTCTGTGTACCTATATACAGAAGTGGCAACTAATATACCTATACACTCCACGTAGTTACTAGCATTACAGGTATAGGTTTACTGTTAAATTGTCTATATTACAATATTAGTAGCAACGTAAACGAACTGTATATTATTTATTCGAGTCTACAGTGGTGGGAATAGAGTGCGGGATACGGAGAATTGTAATTTTATCGTGATTGTGATAGTAAATAATATTAATAATATAAGTAGTTATTGAGATAGTCGAGTTACATAGTACAAATTGCATACATTTAATTAACTAAAAAAAAAAAGAACTGAAAAAACAATAACAATATTATAGACAACAAAAGTTTTTATATGTAATAGTTAGCATATTATTATTAGTTAAAAATTACTAATTTTTATTATCATTATTAGTACCTGTTGTCCTAAAGTGTCGTTTTTGCATTACTATTATTATCATTATTTTCATTATATTAATATTAGTATTTTATGTATTTAAGTATCTAATAACGTTGTATACATATACAATATATGCGTGTTGCATATTGAAATATAGCGCCATCTATTTAAGTATAATATTATGTATTTTTAATACATTTTTAGTGCGTGTTTAGTGTGCGTAATCAATGAAAATATTTTAATCTCAGAAAAATAAAACGATAGCTTACATTTATACAAAATTCCTACTGCTTCGTAAATTGATTAGTATTTTAAAGTATGCTTATTAATTTTATCAAGTGAAATTTATTTTCGAATTAAAAATTTCAACCGTCTACCTAGATGCGTATCTTAGTGATTAATTTGATTTAAGCTTATAAAATATTTTTATCTACATATTATTCTTATAATATTTTTTATATATAAATAGATTTTTGAAAGATAATTAATCTTTTTTTCAGGTATATTTATATATTATATTATAACTTGTTATTATTGTGACAAATCAATATTATTTTAGTGATGCAATATAAGTATATTATCTAATAGATGTTTAGTCATGTATAAGTAGATATAATAATATATTGTATAGTTGTACCAATGACATATTAAACATCTCGATAAAAAAATGCCTACGTTTTGTGTCACTTAGTGTTTAGATTATTGATTAATTGGAAATTTACGAAAAGATTTAGATGGGATACAAAAATAATAAATAAATTTCCTTAAATGAAATAATAATTGTAATGTTTATTTATATTGTATGTACTTATAAAGTCATTAGATATCATGTATGATATTTCAATAATTGCATATAGGTCATAGGACAATTTAATAGGATAGTCAAAGTAATACCAATAATATAATAGTTATTCAATCTCATAAAATTAAAACACATGTGCAATTATAGGACATAGGCTATAAAACATTAAGTAGTTATAAATATGAAATAACAGTTTTCTGTGAACTGTAATAGACCATTTAAATATCTACATAATATACTACTACTTTATAAATATAAAATATGTATTAACTACTTAATTCTGATTTGGTAAATAAACAAACAAAAAAAAAAAAAGAAATACATAAATAGCTCTGTTGCAGTATAGTAGGTTTTGAGTGTATTTTGTCACTGAGTAAATATTAAAAGTCGCTGACCGCTGTAATATATATTATGTTAAAATATAATTTAATGATAAAAGTGATAGTACGAGAAAAAATTATGAATGATGAGTGAGTTCTGATAGTAACTACATGGAATATATGTAGACTCTAAGTACTTATAAGGAAATTTTTAAATTAATTTGTAAGTATATTACTTCTAAAAATAAAAGTTTGAAATATTTTTTCTAAAACATCGAACATAATATAAAATAAATGTTACACTATTATATCATATTTTATTGTTATTATAATTATGTAGTATGTAACTATTATAAGTTAATATGTACTAATTTTCAGTAGAACGGTGTATTTATCATTGGACATTTATTATGAATAGTATTGATAAACAATGATTATAATATGTTCATAGTATAAATAATAAAACAAAATAAATAGCTTAAAATTTGTACTTATAGAAATATTCAAATATGTATTATGAATATTTTGTTGTGTATAGAAAATAATAATAATATTTGTAAAAGTTTTTGTCCCTAAACCCTATATGAATATCATTTTTTGAGTAAAGACCAAGTGCCTAATTAAAACCATTTAAAGAAACATTTTTATCTTTCGTTTAAATGTCTAATTCCACGCATGTTGAATTTAAAATGTCTATAAATACAATTTTGCATTAATATTTTTGGTATTTTAAATTTCTGTAAGAATAATTTAATTATGGGAGCAGTGCGCCAGTGCCACAAATAAGGTTTTTAGGGCCAGGGTGCAAAACAAACAAAATGTTATTGATAAATGCATATTTTATGTCTGAAAACGTGAAGAAACTATATTTTAATTTTTTTTAATTGAACAAATATACATTAACACTTAATTATATAAAAAAAAAAAAAAAAATAATAACAATAATAACAATAATTTATCAAAATAATAATTTATATGCTTTTAAAACTACCTACTTCAAAACATTTTTTTTTGGCTTTTTTGTTCCTAAAGTCTAAAATTAATTTTTCGATGTCCAATTCTTCAGTGCGCACTCTTTCTACGTTAAATATATTTGTGTTTTAATCGGTCTTGGGTTTCCCAAATAGTTTTAAATCAGTTTGAGTTTTGAAGACGATTGTTCGGCCGATTCAACAGTCACTAGTAAACTTAAAAATATAATACAAGCTGCGACAACTTCACTATTTGTTAGGTTGATTTCTATGAAATTTAAGCATAATGCTTTAATTGTTTACCTCTTAGTGTTTTTTATAAACTATTTTAAAGATAGAACTTGACTTTTGTTAAATCGAACCTAACCTTACGTCAGATTTGTAAAATTTCTACTACGATTAAGAAACATTGTGTCTATTTTATTTCTTTACATATAATTTTTATTAACTTTATGGCTAATAATTCAATAAGTTAATTTCATATTTTCTGACTTGAATATTTTATTTTTGTTTCTTCATCATACTAAAGCTTACTTAAGATAGGATCAAACTCTGCCATAAATATATAACTGTGCATAAAAAATTGCCTTCAAAATTACTGTTGGATTTTCCTCCATTTCCTTTCAATGCAGTATTTCCAGCCGTAAGACAATATTATTTTTTATTAATCGTTATAATACTTCTCTCCAAAATGTTGCTTCTTTAGATATATGTTTTTCTAAGTCTTTATCTGTGGTTTCATTTTTCAACCAAATTATTTGCAATTGTATGGCTTCTACAAATTGTGTATTTAGTTTTCATGTTTGATAATCTTTTAAGTTTAATGCGTCGCCAGTCATTTATACCGTTTATCTTATTAAATTTAAAGTTATGATTTTTTCGATCCGCAAACAACCAAAACGATTTACAATAAATTTTTAGTTAAACTAATGATTCATTAGTTTGCAATGAATAATATAGTACCTTTTAGGTACTTTAACACCAACTTCAGTACTTTGGTATTCATATAATTATAGTCTTTGGAAAAATGTGTACTAGATTTCATAGCTTTACTTTTATCACTAAAAATTGTGTTTGAACTAGTTTGAAAGAAAGTTTATTAAACGTTTGCAAAGACAATAAAAGATAGAATTTGCTTTTTAAAATAAAAATTGATTGTGATATTTTGAAAACGTCCTCTATCCGTTAGAAACTTTAATAATTATAATTATTTTTATTTATATTAATTAGCACTTAATTGTTTTTTTTTTTATTCTTTGTTTATTTATTAACCATATATTATACATTTATAATTTGTCCTTAAATTATTACTCCTAAGATAATTATAACTTTTATTATTGGATTAAATATTGATTAGATTCAATGTTGTAAAATTATTAAAAAGGGCACAAAAAAAAAAAAAAAAAAAAACAAGAATCAATTACTTTCTTTTTTAAATTAACGCCTTCTACCACAGCATTCAAATTACCACAGTACATAACAATGATACGTCTGCGAATAAACGAACATTGCTATAAACTTATTGGGATTTTAAAATTGTCAAGTTTACAATATTATATATTAATATAAAAATGTGATTTTTAAAATAAATGTTAGTAAATAGCCTTCAATATATGTCTGTTATACTATTAACTAGAGTTTCAAATGTAAAACTATTTTTTAAGTCCTAACATAGTAATTTGAAAAAAAAAGTAAAAGTTCAGTGTTTAAAATAATTTGTGAGGTTTATAAAATGTTGGACATCTCCCGAAAAATTATCCAAAATACGCCACTGTTTATTTTTATAGCAATACTCATAACTTGCTTTAAAATTAAAATATAAAAAAAATTCCATAAATTCCTATTTATCTATTATTTTTACTTTTCAGTTTAATAATTGATAAATACTAAATTCACTTTAATAATAAAAATAACAGAGTAAAACGGATTCTTCTGAACATGAAATTTTCTGTGTTCGGTGTGTGTAAGATCAAAGATGTATATAGGTAATACATGTTTTCATGTTACCTATTGTGCGGAGACGCGGGAGACGGCAATTCAAATTTCATCCCGTCCATTCTGATGATCTGAAATCGAAATTACCGGGATCACGAATGTAAAGTGGGTCAACATTTTTGGCTGATCCAAATAGGGAACTTAAAAAAACAAAAATAGGTATTGATTGCCGCCACTAAATAACATTAAAATGATTATTAGCCATAAGGTACATAATAGGTGATATGTATATAGTATTCAAATAAGTAGATACGTAACTTCATACCCGTTGTACAGTGACACGGCGTACACTGTACTCTGTGTGTACCTGTCCAAGTAGATATTGATTGCAATTGGTGGCATTACCGTAGAACGAAAATATAAATACCATTATAATATAGTGGTTTAGTAAATTAATTCGATGGTGTTACAATTTATTATTAATACAATAAATCGTTCACACTATACGTTTAGACGTTTAGTACATATTTGACATTTATTTACGAGTTCGTTAATCGTCGTAATGTCGTATCACTAATATCGACCGTTAGAGCCGTTAGAGGTTTCATCGTTTCAGCAGCGTTCGACGCGTAGTTGACGACGATAACAGACTTCGGCGGCGGCGCTGCGGTGGAACCGTTCGTAACGAACAGCCGTGTGGCAGCACTGCGGTCGTGAACGAACGTCCGCTTTGCGTCGTCGTCGTCGTCGCCGCCGCCGTCGTTGTCATCGGCAGGTGGCGCGTCGTAAGCGCGTTTAGAGCGTATCTCAAATCTCAATGGCTGCCGCGATCGTTCGTTCACCGCTATAGTCGCCGCCGTTAAACGAATTCGCTTTGTCACGGTTTCCCGACGTCGTCGATCCGTTATTACGCAGATTTCTCGATCATCGTCCGTTTTCCAAAGTCTACAAACGCCGGTCATTGACGGCTACACTAATCGGACACGTCTCGCCGCTCAACGACACACATACCGGAACGCCCAGCACTATCTCGTGGTAAGCGATCGTCATCGACCGACCGGTAGTCTGCTGCTTGTTTGCTACAGCCGTCGCATTCTGTTCGACTAATGTAATAATAACGATACCGTAAAAATGTCGTCGCCGTCGTTAGTTTTTACGCGCGCCGCTCTGTATGCACAGAAATATTCATCGTATTACGATGACGGCGGCAGCGGGAGCAGCGACTGAGACGGCGTGACTATAACGGCAGTGTCGTTGACGCACGTCAATAACGATAATAATAATAATATACTCGTCGACTTGCTCTGACGGCTGGTGTGACGGCCGTTGACGAGACGTAGAGTGAAGACAATGGCGGTTTTGTCGTACCGGTCGGACGAACTGCTGTCTCGATCATCGATAATGATTAGCACGTTCTCATATTTGTTATGTCTTACAGATCAACACTTAAGGAGGTTCAGTTCGGACAACTCTAGCTGGTTGGACGTAAGAGACTTCCTCCCTTACGGGCGTTTTGAACTGCAAGCTGGATAACGTCCTATCGTTGTGAGTTATAATTACTTGTCGCTTATATTAGACTGCTCACCATCTAGGCACCTATTGTGTTGATTGATATGAGAATGTTGTTTGCTTATATATTTTCAAATAGTACAATATTTGTTTAAATAGGTATGATCTGTGGATGTAGGTCTTGTGTTTTGTATATCCACATCATATCAAAAACAAATATGTCACTGGTAAAAAGTTAAAATGATTAATTCAATTTTCTTATTAATCTTTGCAACCAGATTTTTATCAGCTTAAAAATTTAACTTTTTTTCATAGCCTTATCAACCTAATTGTATTTAAATTGTAATTTACATCCACAAAATTTGACATGGAAAGTTATGTTTATTTACAGTGTAGATAACAATTGCCAAAATATAAATATTAATGTTTAATGTCTACCTATATGATAAGAAAGATAATGTTGCAAATTTACAAATAATAGTTTTGATATTATGTAAATATTTTAATGAAACATTGGTACCTATATTTTATAAATTGTTTTGATCTTGTGTATTTTACTATCGTATAATATAATCTCAAATTTAATCATCTGATTAATTATTCTAATTTGAAATTTATTTTAACAATTATTTTGTGTTTGTCATTAATACAAATTTTGTATAATAAAAAATTTTTAATCAAATTGATAAAAGTATAGGTTGAGTTTTATAAATTTAAAACACTGTTAGTCTTTAAAAGTATATAGGTACAATTTTTATACTTTCAAAATTGATTCTAATAAATAATATTTAATTTTTAGATTGTTCGTTAGCAACCATGTCGGTTCCTAGTCAATTGAAAATTGACAACTGGGGTAATTTCTTTATGCAGCGTCTCAACAACTTAGCTAAAAAAGATGAATACTGCGACTATACTATTCGTTCAATGTCAAATGAATCTTTTAAAGTCCATAGAGTCGTTTTGAATACGTGTTCGGACTATTTTGTTTCTCATCCAAGTTCTGATAAAACTATGACTATGCCTGCACATCTAGACTTTGATGCTGTGAAAAGTGTTATAATGTTTATGTATACCGGACAACTTCATTTCACCGAAGACAGCCGTATGAGTTTAATTGAAGTAGCTGACATGTTACAGGTGACTGTATTACTTAAGCTTCTAGAGTCACAAACGGGAGCACAGAAATTTATTCCTAAGTATCACTCTCCACAAGCTTCAACATCAAGAACTCATTCAGCAATTGCATTAAATCAGTATAGACCTGCCAAAAAACCAATCACTCAAAATAATTCAACTTTTAGATCTCCACCAGAACATACACCCGCATCTACTTTTATAAATACAATGAAAGTAAAAGATGTTTTGAGTGAAAATAAACCAATGCGGTTTGAATGTGATGCTGATGATGTACCTGAGTTTATAGAAAACACTTTTGAATTACCCAAGTATGATAGTGCACCTTTAATTAAACAAGAAAATTGTGATAGTGCAAAAGCAATGCTCAAAAGAGCTTCCAATGGAGAATTGATTGATAAAAATTTGGACAAAGGTTTTAAAACACAAGAAATTAAATGTGAAACTCAAAGTGTATCATCTTCACCAGTTGGCAAAAAATTGAAAATTGTCAGTGATACAGACCCAGAGAACACTAATAGCAAAGTTGTGCAAGAAATCTTAAAGAAATACCCACATTTATTGCAAAGTAAAGGTAACATTAAATTAAAAATTATGTCTAGTACTAATAAAAGCCAATTTGAAAGTATTATTATCAATACTCCTAATTCAGTCGAAAAAATTTTACCTGCTGGGAGTGGTGTTAAAAAACCAATTACTACTCACAAAGTCAAGCCAGATATCATGAATTTAAATGGCCCTTGGTCTTGTGATCTTTGTGGAACTGACACAAATCCATTGAAATTAGATTCTTATTTTATATACAGAAGACATTTGGTAGAAAAACATAATGAGAAAGAAGACACTAGAGTTTGTGAACACTGTGGACACTTTTCTGTACGTAAAAGCCTACAAATACATCATATGTACACTAAACACAATATTCAGCCTCCTGCAGATTTCAAGTTCCCTCAATGCGATGTTTGTGGGTTTATTGCTACAACCGAAGTCCATCTAAAACGACATAAGACCTTGGAGAAATGTGGCAGTAAGCCACAAACCAAAACAGAATATGGAAGTTATACGTGCACTGAGTGTGACAGAACATTCCGTTCAAGCTTAATGCTCAAGGGACATTTGAGAAATTTCCATAAAGTCGATAACATTACCCCGTCAACTTCATCAACTAAAGAGTTATTAATTTCTGTTATTGATAATATACCACCTGGGGCCAAAGTCTTAGCGGAAAATAATATTATTAATGAAACAGATGATCTTGAAAAAGGTGAAGTCATTTATAATGAAGAAACTACAGAAGTAGAAACTATTACATTGGAAGATGCTGAACAGGTACTTGAAGAAAATGATGATGATGGTAAAACCACAACTGTACCAATGGACATCACGGAAGAGTGGGATGATTTTGATGATGTAGATACAAACAAAAATGAAGAATCTGACAAAGAAGAAGACAACAGAGATGCTAAACCTTGTAGAATAGAATTGGAGTGAGTCAAAAATAAAACTATATTATTGAAATGTTTAGAATATTGTTTTACTCTAATAAAATTGAATAATTGTTATCCAATTGCCTATTTAAAATATGTGATTATACTTTTCTTTTAGTTAAGAAAAAAACCATTAAATTGAATATTAAATTGGTAGTAAAGCTTAAAAAATTTTTGAAATTATTTATTTATATATTGTAAATAACTATTACCATCTAAACCTTATTATTAAATTATAAGTATTAATTTTTTTGATACCTTTGTAGTGGATGATACTAATAGTTTTTTAGCCAGTGATTATAATATTAGGCATTTTAATAATATAGAAAAATTGTTATTTTAATGATACATTTCATAATATATATATATTGTGTAATACATTGAAATGCAGTTAACAAAGCTTTTATTATGAAATGGTATAGCACAAGTTTTAAACTTATTTTCCATAAATTGTAAGTTAAATGTATCAAAAAATGTGATATTTTTGTATTTATAGTAAATGCTGCTTGCCTATATCATTATATTAATTTAGTTTATCATACAATAAATGTAATTTTAAATCAATTATCAAAATTATAATTTATAACAACTTAAAAAAAGTAAATTATGTATCAATAAATAATTTATTTTTCTGTGTGTGCATAATGTTAAATATTAAATAAACTATTCTTGATCATCATTTATTTTATTCTATATTTCAAAATAGTTTTTTTTCATCTAGTCAAATTATAAAAATTGAGTATTAGATTTTAAATAAAAATTTAATATTTTTAAGTACTCAACTAGTTGTGTATTTCGTAAGTATTTTTTGGTACAAAAATTGTAAATTTTCCATTATAAAAAAGACCAGTTAAACCATTAAAGTTAATATTGGTAAATCTATTCTTTAATGTTGCAGAGTAAAATGTATAAATTAGTTAATTTTTTAAGAATTTATTAAATAACATTGGATAGATTCGGGTGTAAAGCAAATAAATCCTTTGTCTAGTTTTTAATACCAATCGTTATATGTATTAAGAGAAAAACTTACATGTGGTAAACGTATAATATTTGTCATAAATTAAAATGTATACCTTAAATATATATTACGTCTAAAAATAATATTTCTTTTTTATTGGTTTTTTTTTTTTTTTTAAATCACAACAAAAATATGAATAGTATTCTGATTATTTTATGGGATATGAGTGTTTTTATTGTGAAGTAAGGTTTTAGTAATAAATGGGTCAGCTCCAACACCCTTAATACATATGTAAATGTACAAAAATACAACATAATAAAATAAATTTGATGGAATCTATCATAAAATGCATTTTTCAATTATTTTATGTTTATATTAATAATTGTTTTTTTTTTTTTTTTAATAACAAATATATATATATAATATAACACAAAATATTTAAAAATAAGGAAAGTAAGTAACCCCACTGATGTATTGTAGGTTACTTGAAGAGTCGAGTGTACTTTATCATCTAAGAGTAAGTTACTGTAATGCATGTTGTGTTAAATTTAAATTTAATGATAAATCATTTTAAACAAATTCAATATTGTTAAGTAGGTATATATTTTTATGACATACTTATATTGCTATTATTTTGTTAAATTATTTTTTTAATTTGATTTAAAAACTTCATTGTCTATGTGAAATATAATATATATATGTAAATATATATATTAAACATATATAAATATATGTTTCAGTAAAAATTTCAAGTGCCTATGAATAATATTTAGAGATGTAAGTTTGGTAAATTTTTACCATGTAAATTTACCAATTATTTTTTTACAAGTAAATATTATTTTACTAAAAAAATTAGCACGTGTAACCTTGAATTAAACGTCTTAATGAGATGAATATTCTTAACATATCAATGGAATGAAATAGTTTATAATTTTTATTATATAACTCAAAACGTTAAACGTTGAATATGCCCATAACTAGCACAGTTGTAGATATAATATTATTATATTATAATATTTATTTACAACTGTACTAGTAATAAATTTGATTTTATTGACATCGCGATCTATGCCATTTATGGACTATGACAGTTACATGATTCATGGCTATAGATACTATTATCAACTTTTATTATTTAAAACTTATTAATTTTACGTTTACTTAGTAGTTTACTTTTTATTAAATAGTTAAAATGAAGCCGCAAGAAATTAAAAAGAAGTATTTAAAAAAAGTTGAAAATAAGTGTTACAATAGTTATAAGTTTGTGTAAAAGTAGAAGTGAAGAGTTTCTAAGAGGATTCCTATGGTGACATACAAAAATTATCAAAATTTACAGAATTTACGTAAATTTTTCTCGGTAAATTACAAAAAAAAAAAAATTAACGTAAATTTTACATCTATAATAATATCTATAAATTACGGTTCAAAGTTGAACTTAAAATGTTTTTAAAATAGTTAAATTTATTCATTTTTTGGTTATAATATGAACTACTTAAGAAAAATCTGTTAAATTATTAATCCTTAGTTATAAAAATTGATAATTTTATAAAATTTATAAACATCTACAAAGTTATTAGAAAATGTTCTTGATTTATAAATCTTGAAAATATATCACTATATTCTAAATATTAAGTTGTTAGATATGTAAAAATATTTTGAATATATATCAAGTCAACATTTATTGTTATAAGCATTTGAAGCTTAATTTTTACAAAATTTATCAAAATCATAAAAGTTTGCAAATTATAAATAGTTTATAAACTATGCTATTTTTATAGTTAAGAGTTGAAAATTTAACTTAAACGTCTTCACACTGAAACCAAAAATCTAAAAAATAAAAAACAATTTTTTTTAGAAATTTTAAATTTATATTTGGATGAAATCGCGTATTTGAACTATAAATAAAAATATTAATTTTTTTATTATAATTAATTTAAAAACATTATTTGTTGGGACGTAAAACTTCTAAGTATATATTAACCTATAAACTTTATATACACGATAGCATTTTTTTAATGCAATGTTTTCGACAAAACTTAAATCGACATAGGCACTGTATTTTTAATATTTCGTTGAATACCTAATAAATTAAATACTTATTGATATTTTGGCTCACAGACTGTATCCGTTTAGAATCAATATATATTATAGTACAATTATATATTATTGAATTTGAATTTAACACTTCTATCACTGGACAGTGGAAACTTTCTGCTGTTCAGCAGAGAGGTATACTCCATTTGGCCACTTGTTCAATTTTTTTTGTCTTTTCCGGTTATTTTAAAAAATGCTGGACATTTTTTACTCTTGAATTTAAACATCCAACGTATCAACTAGACCAAGATTTCTACCAATAAATCATCCTCGAAGTTGAAAACTTAATCATTTTTTAAGTATCAAAAGATAATGACGGACAAAAAAAAACATATCATCATCGTGCAATTAATACATTCGTCGTTTCGCTTAGAATCTAAAACATAATGTAAAGAAAAAGCATACACATTTTAAAAGGATGTAAATTGATTAATGTTAATATAAAGTAACAACTAATGGTCTCTGCTTCTGCGCGAGTTGTAGTTTAGTTAAATTAAAAACAATTGAATAAATTCTATATATTAGTAGAGATCTCATTGATTATGCCAGACCTTTTTTATACTCAGGTAAAAGTATTTCGTTCGTACAGACACATAGTCTAAAAACAAAATATCGATTTCGCCTCCTAACTGAATCGAGGAAAAATTAATCTTCGAATAAAAATTATAGTTACGTTTTATTTATATAGCTTTAATACAAGTTATACTATACTGTATAAATATATTTAGCTTTATTTAAAATATAAGTAAAAAATGGCACGCAAGATGGCTAATATTTGTCCTATACTATCAGATTAGTTATGTTGTTAATTGTTAATAAATGTACCTATAATATTATATATTTTATAGGTGTGTACATTTTGCTTATAATATTATAATTCCTATGTAGGTACTTATACTTGGGTTATTCTTGCCAAAAATATTAGTTACCTACATAAGTAAGTCAAATGTAAATGTATTTGTTAATAAGTTAAGAAGATAATAAATAATAACATGATCATTATACATAAAAATTAGTAGGCGGCGAAATTGCTGCGTGTTACTTGCGTCCTAGAAAAAGGTAGTTTCTTTGGAGAAAATCTGCCCAGTAACTTGCATTTCGTTTTGGGACGTGAATCGGCTTTACCACTATTTTTGACGTTATCGTGTCACTGAAATCGATATTCAATAGATAGTTAATAAACTGCACTATTGTACAGTGTACTAATATTATTAAATATGGTTCCTATGTGGCCATGTACATAATAGGTATTGCTATAACGCGTTAATAGTTAGATTCGATAAGAATATTTTTAAGATAAGATATTAATTCGATTAAGATATTAAATTACTTTGATCACGATTCACGTCAATATGATTTTGTCATTTAGTCGTATTGATTTTCATTTTGCAATAATTCTTTAATACAATTTGTCGTGTTAAACCAAAAATATTGTTTTAGTGTAACTTGTAAAATAGACGAAAGTTAAAAAAAAATTTTTTTAAGCATGAAAAAATGCATAGTTCTAAATGATACACTAAAAATAGTTTTTTAATATCTTTAAGTTTAGATATCAACTCATTAACGTTTTAAAATCATTTCAGGTTAATACATGTATTATAAGTTATAATCAATAGCAATAAAAAAGATAACAGAAAAAAATTTAAAACTAGAATACTTAGAAAAACAAATTGAAAGTTTAAAAAAAAGATATATTACCATTACATTTTATAAAGAACGTTTCTTTGAAATTTCAACGAATATAAAGTCCTAACTACATTACTATTTGATCTAAAACGATTTAATAATAATTGTTGATACATATTATACCATACGTATTATAAATGTATTTTTTTTTTTTTTTTAATATTTCTTAATTTTTGTTTATTGTAATATTAGTAAAAAGTAAATAACTTGATACAAAAAATTATGACTAATTTACAAAATAGAAAAAAAAAATACAAAATAATCGATATCATTTAGGTAGTATTCATTTTTGGGAAACAACTTTAAGCTATAAAAAAGTTATACTGGGATGCAATTAGGTT